ATCATGTGGAAAATTCAAGAATAGAGATTTTAGGGATACATATTCTCATAGTGGGCTTCTATGGTGGCTCAGGATATAAAGAATCTGCCTGTAATGCAGGAGAAAGTGAAAGTGAAGTCGCTCACTTGTGTCCAATTCTTTGTGACCCCATGGACTGTAACCTACGAGGCTCCTCCATCAATGGAATTTTCCAGGCAAGAATATTGGAGTGGGTTGCCATGCCCTTCTCCAGAGGATCTTCCCCACCCAGGGATGGAACCCAGGTCTCCCGCATTGCATTGCTAGCAGATGCTTTTATCGTCTGAGCCAGCAGGGAAGTGCAGGAGACTGGGGTTCAATCCCTGGGTCAGAAAGATCCCCTTGAGAAGGGTATTTGACCCTGATTGAATTGACAGGGGGCCTGGCCTCAATTTATGAGTTCATGGGAAAGCTGAATGAAACAATCTAAAAAGATGCTTTCCTTTTGATTACTGCCTTGGACATACCAAGGAGAAGCTGGAAAAAGCATGACATAAACACAGTGCAAAGCTGCAAAGTTGCCTCTCCATTCAAAAATGGCCCACAAGGGTAACTCTACAATATTTTATAGAATCTTAGCCTATAACAATCAGTGATGATAGCATGTGTGTATATGTGCACATGTGTTTTCGCAAGAATCAAAGAGTAGATTTTAATGCAACTTAAAACAGAGAAAGAAAAGTATGAGACTTTTTTCTTTACCTACCAAAAGGAAAAAAAAAAAAGAAAGAGTTGACTTTTTAAAGTATAGGAAAGAATTAACTCAGTGAAATTATGTCAGTGTACACAGCTCCAGAGAAACAGACACTTCCAAAAACTGGGCTATTTGGGGGAAAGTCCATTTGTTCATAACTTCTGGACTCTGTTTCATCTTGCAGCTCACTGTATTTATAACCAAAATTGCAATACTCTTATTACTCTTCTTGAGAAGGGAGTGATGAATTCATCTCAGCAGACAGAACCAATCTAATGGTTAAAACCAGGTCTTGTGGACCAAGTAAAATGTTGTACCTAAATATTTGTGAACACACTGATAAAACATTTTAGAAACTGAATTATTTCTAAAGTTTCCAGAAGTTTAATTTATAGTACCAATTCCAGAAGTTTAATTTATAGTACCAATTCCAATCTTCCACTCTTTTCACTCCTCCTCATTATTTCTTCTATACAAACCTTTATTTTTTTCCTGGGTCAGAACATTTATGACAAGTAAAGATGAGCAACCTTTTTTCATAGGACTCAGCTAGGAGCACTGTGGTCACAACTGATGAATATGGCAGGCTGGATGTGACACTAGATGGGTACAGATAGCCACTGAGCAAATGCTTGTCACTGTTAACAGGGCAGGTGTGGGGCTGTTTTGCATCTTAAAACAGAGAACAATGCTTTGTGTCTTAAGGCATGGCTTGTGGAGGAGTGTTATAGAGGCCGAGGTATCTTTGCAATATGAGTGCATGAGTCTTCACTAAAGATTGATTCATTTAAAAGATCAATCAATAAATGTGGACAAGTGGTATATGATGTCCCCTTCCTCAGTGGAGTTCATGAAGAACTCTCCAGCTGTGTTCAAATTTAGAATTACACATTTGGAAGTCTATGTGCAGAGTTCGAAATGATAATGTACATGTGATAAGTTAGACACACTGAATGAAATCAGGCAACAGCTGATTAACAGCACATCAAAGTAGGCCTCACACTCTTAATTTTACTCATGCGCTCCTTCCTGACAAACCTACCACTACATTTACTCTTCTGACTCTCAGGAGAAGGGCTGCTTGAAGAATTCTTGGATGTCTTTTCCTCACTGGAAGTATACACTGGAGAACTAGTTTACACAATCATCAAAAGAAATCTCGAAATATCTGGCTAATGTACTACATAGACGTCATGGCACATATTGAAATGGAAAAACGACTTATTCATTCAGATTAATCACCAGGATTCCTGGAACTCCAGAACACAAGTGTAACCAGTAAAGTCTCTACCTCTAGATAGACTTTTGCTACTTTGGAAAATATCCTGGAAAATATCTGGCCAGAAATTTCACCATAGTTACATTCAGGATTAGAAATAACTTTTCCCCCATTATTTGCTCATTTGAAAGGAATCTATCTTGACTCTTATAAAGCGTATCAGGATCATATCCAATTACAGGTAGATAATGTAATACTGGTATGCTTGGTTTTTAAAAAATTTATTAACGAACAGAAACAGCAACTGAATGAGTCATTTTGTGTGGAGAGTTTCTAGGAAGTATGCAGTAAAGAGTTCCTTTTAGTACAACGCTTGTCTTAATTAAATGGGGCTCAGTAAACTTTATAAAAAATAATGGCAGTTTACAGCAAATTATTATTTAGAAAATATGTATCCTCTCATAAAAAGTTAAACTGAATATTTTCCAAATTTTGTAAAAAAAAAAAAAAACCCTAAAGGATGTGAAGTGTAAACAGTCAAACATAGGAAAAGCTTTCTAAATAAGAAATTTATATTCTAATAATATCTGTAAGGCAGTCTGAATGCTAAGAATTACCAAAAGACTTGTCTAGAAGCATTTAATTTCACACACACATACACAATTCTAGAGACTTTTAACTTCAAAGCTGTAATAGCAAATGTTTCCTTAAAGACATTTTAAAACATTTAAAATAACTTCAGCAAAGTTCTTAAATTTTTAAAAAATTCCATAATGCCTACCTAACTTAAAAAAAAAAAAAAATCATGCCATGACTGTATCCTGTCCTTTGTATTTCCATTACAAAGGACACCGGTGTTTTAAATTCTGTTCCATTTTCTAACTTGACTTCAGCTCACTCATGTAAAGAAAAAACTATTGTTCCAAATCATTTGAAAAGAATATAATATTTAATCTGCCTATGATGATTTATTTTCAATAGTATTCCACTTATAGTAAGATAAGGAGTGAAAATATGTTTTCTCTGTTTTAAAATATCAGTATGGGAAAAACCCATCAAAAACACATGTAAAACTGAAGATATACTTCCATCATAGATTAACAGTCAGAATAGTACATATTCTAAACAACAACCAACAGGCAACTCAATAGAGAAAAAGACAGGGAATTCACCACAGGTAAAATACAAATGGCCAATAAATGAAAAGCTGTTTCTCCTCTCTACTAAAGAAATGATATTTACTAATAGAAATTATTTTACCTATCCAATTAGTGGACAATTGGATAACTTAAAAATACTGATAAAATTGACTGTTGGGAAGAATATGAGGAAACAGACTCTCACACACTGTAGTCAGTGAAGTCATAAATTTAAACTTTTACAACCTTTTGAAGAACTAGTTGGCCACAAAATGCATATATTGTTTAGTCTACTTGGCTTCTAAGGATATAACCTACTGGAGTCATTCAATAAATACTTACTGATAAACCTATAATTAAACCTCCAGTAAGTTTACAAATGTGCAAAAAATACAGACAAGGACACCTATTTCAGTGATGTTTTTTAAAAAGGAACCAATCTAATTGATAGATTAATTAATATGCATCATTGCAATGTAATACCAGAAGCTTCTACAGAAACTTTTTGTTTGCATTTTGTTTCCCTTGGGAGCTAACCCATGAAGGCCTAGCTGCCTGTAAACTGTATAACTTGCATATAAAAGCCAGCTACTCTTCAGTCCTCTTTTATACAATCTGCTCTGAGTTCAGTGCAGGACGGTGAAGGGGAAAATGCTTCCTATCCTTGTTTGGCTTTATTCCCAAAGGATAATTTGAAGGGAAAGATACTACTCCACATTTAAAATTATGTCTGGAAGGCATTGAAAATTACAAAATTTAAATTTATAAGAATATCACTGACCTAGCATTTACTCTGGACTTTTCTAAGTAGGGCACATTTTGAACTAGGTTGATTTTTTAAACATGGGAATTTACTATTATTGCAGCAGATCTCTTCATTTTACATCTTATGAATCAAGCTATCTTGACTTCTCAATTTTACTTAACCCAGAACATGTTCTGGTTGTGTTTTCATTAGTGTCCTTTGTTAGAGTTACCTTAACAAGACCATTTTAGAATGGACACTGATAAGGGTATTTGACATTTATAGTCTCATGAAGGAAAATAATATGTCAACTCTCAATTCACCAGAAGTACAGAAAAGAAAAATGAAACATTAACAAGTCAACTGATCAAAATAAGTTATCACAATAAGAGCACTGTTGTATATCCTGCTTTAACACTTGACTTCTCCCCAATGTTTAGGTCATTAATTGCCTAAGATGGATAAAAAGTCAATTTCTGAGGGGGTATTTCTTAAAACCTTTATGAAAGAAATGAGCTTCTTTTCCATATATAATTTCTTCTTGGATTGAGACCTTAATGCATACAGTTGCATACCATCCTTTCTAAATAGATTGTGATTAGACTTGTAAATTGACTGTGATGATACATTTAGGAAAAGCTCCTTTTCTGAAAAGTTACAGTCATTTTCAGACAGTGGCTGCTCTGTGCCTTACTGTGCCAACCAAAACTGGTGGATATCAGGATAATGACCTCACTTAGCATGGTTCTGTGGTACCAGCACCAGCATACAGTTCTAACATGCGTGCATTTCAGTAAATGTGCCACCAGGGTTCTGTTCTCTTCTGTGTCCTATATTCTTCTCAACTGGTCTGCTCAGTCTCGTAGAAAAGACACCAATATTATGGAATCAAGGAATCTAAGGGCAAAATTGAATGTAATGAGCCATCTATTAGTCTAAAGCATGCATTGCTCTTTGTCTTACCGAAGACTGCGAAAACTTGAACAATAACATCAGGAAAAGAAAACCACCACCAAAACCACCCGTGGGCTTTCTGCAGTTCAACAGGTTGGATTCTGAGCTAAAACTCTGACCTGAGTATTCTCACAGAATCAAAACAGATAACTGTCTGATGTTAATTTAATATTATAATGCTAGTTTACAAAAAGATAGTGAAGCACATTTCTAAGTAGAGATAGTACCTACCTCAAAGCCAGGACTCACAGGAGACTGAAACATGAAGTTGTAAAGAGCAAAAAGCAGACAACGGTGCAGAATAAAGGAAGGAAAAAAATAAGAGAACCATGTTATTAGAATAAAGCAATGCAGGTTGCTCAACAATATTATTAGCAAATAATAGATCTGTTTTCAACAAAAAGCAAAATGTGATACTAATCAGTCTTTGTAGAACTGCAACATCTGGGTTAGAAATTACTTTTTAATATTTAAATGGGACTAGAGACTTTAAGTTAAGATTGCAAAAACAAAGTTTATAGTTTTGAGCTGGTAGAGGGGGAAAAATATCTGCTTATCAGTGTCAGTGATGAGAGACAGTTCATTCACCTTGTTGAAAATAAATCAGAGACGGAACGAAGCATTTTGACCTTTAAGTGAAAGATGAGATTTTTCTTCACAATAATTCATCCTCTCAATGGGAAAAGAAAGGAAAAGGTCATCAAAGTAATCAAATGTGACATAGTTGTTATCTGCCTTCAGGCAGGAATGAGCTCATGAATAATCAGTATCAGTCAGTGCTGTATAAACCTGAAAAGTCCAATATAGGCTTAGAGTTTTAATGACAGAAATATGTCTGTGGTGTATTCTTCACTCATTTTAGAGTCTTTGATGTATAGTATTGCTTTCCTGTCTGATTTCATCCAAGTTTGAAATATAATTCAAAAGTTGAAAGGTTATTAAAAATTTTTTAAGAGGAGGAATATCAATGAAAAAACATTTTGGTTAAGTAAACAAGTATCTGGTAATTTATGCTGAATACGCTTTTTTTCATCTCTGTTTCCTCAAGCTTTGAGGGTCACCTGTATTTGATAACTAGAAATCAAATCTAAACTAAAAATAGCTGACTCTCTTAAACAAAAAATGCATGACTGTGTTTTGAAATCAGTATTGAATAAACCATTACACTTTGAGAAAAATCCCAGTATTTTTTCTCTCAATCCCTAAGTATCCTAAGTTGCAATCTACTGCTAAACCATTTTGTCAGAGACTTTGGAAAGTGATGTACATTACACTGAGGTTCTGCTAAGATTAACTGTTACTCAGCAATACCTGTGTTAGATTACTGGATTAACAAAGCAAGAGCAGAAGTCAGGGACAACAATGGCTCATTTGGCCAGATCCAAACATGATTTTGGGGGAGAAATTATAGAACTGTTTCAATGTACTTTTACGGAACATTTTCATACAGAGGCAAAACTTTCTCTTTGGGAGAAGTCAATCAAATTTCCTCAATTTCTAAAATAAGATATGATCCTTGTCATCAACATATCTCATATCCAAAGCACAGGATTTTCTTCCAGTGTAGCTCTGAATGTCTTTATTCTGGGCTATCATCAGAATTCAAGTTTAGCTTAGTGCTGGTTCAGTGCTCGATACTTGAAGATGGCCTAGGCAACATGCGTTGACTTATGCCTTTAAGTTACCATTTCTAAAAGACTATTTTTTCCCATTAGGTGTTTCCGGGTTTTGTGAGAAAAGGGGATTCCATATTTGAGTCAGTTTAGGAGCACTGATTTCATTATTGTAAGACTACTGTGAACCATAACTATGCCCAATGAATACTGTGATGTCCAGTACTTGGATGGACAAAGGAGCATTTCCTAATCTTATCTGACTAGGAGAATGAGTTTTTGGATAATATTTTATAGCATCATTATCTTAAAGAAAACATTTTGGGAATCACACACCTCTGTATTTTTCCCTTGCTATAGAATTAGAATCACCAGAAATGTCCATAGGTCACCAAGAAAAAGAAAACCACCTGTTCTTTCAGGAGTTGGTTGGAATATTCTACTAGAGCTTTGTATTTATTTTTGTTTCCTCCTTGAAGGAAGGTCATATGAATAACAGTTTTATATCTGTGGTGAAGGCTACTGTAGAAAATGTTTACATGTAAATGAATACTATATATATTAGGATGTTGTGGCATATTACTTTCATTTAGCACTCAGAGAATGTATGTTTCCTGTTACTGAATAATGCAATTTCTATAACTTTAAATTGACTGACTGGAGTCTCAGAATTAAATTTAATTATTAATTATTCTGATATAATATTTTGTTCTTTTCTCACATGATTTGGGATAAGGAATTGTAATGACTTTGTAACTTGCTATTAGGATACGTACTGGCTATTGTCATTTTAAAATATCTTTACTGAGGTACAATTTTTATGGCATAAAGTACAGGAAATTCTAGGTGTACTTCTTGATGAACATAAAAGCATGGACCACTACCCAGATCAAGATATAGAATATTTCCAGCATCCAGAATGGTTCTCTCCTGCTCCCTCTTAGCTTATTAATCAGAACTTCAGACACTAGATTCATAAGCATATAAACTTTGTGTCTGTTTTTTCCCCTAAATATTATTTTTTGAGATTCATTTATGTTGTTGAAGGAATCAAAAGTTCCTCAATTCTATTACTGTATTGCTATATACTACTATTCCATTATATGACTTTACCATTATTTATGTGTTTCTAGCTTTTAGCTATCATCAATAAAAATGCTAAAAAACACACTTTTAACAATAGGATTCACACTGACACCACTCCCCTGCCCCACAAGATGAAATAGTTAGGTATCCATGTAAAAAATATGAATAAGATTTATAAGAGAAAAAATACAAAACTTTGATGAGTGACATCAAAGAGCTAAATAATAAAGATATCCCACATTCACATTTAGGAAGACTCAATACTCTCAATTTGTCAGTTATTCTCAACTTCACCAATAAAGTCAATGCAATCCCAATCAAAATTGCAGCTAATTATTTTATGGATATTAAGAAAGTGATTCTACATCTCATATGGAGAGGCAAAAGACACAGTATAGCCAACGCCATACTGAAGAGAAGAATAAAGTTAAAGGACTGATAACTATTCAACTTCAAGAGCTACTATAAAGTTATAATAATCAAAACAGTGTGGTATAAGAATGACAAGTAGATCAATGAATCAGAATAGTGAGTCCCTGAACAGGTCCCCATATATACAGTCAATTCACCTTTGACAAAGGATCAAAGGCAATAAAATGGATAAAAGATGGCCTCTTCAATAAATGGTACTGGTGACTCACATATAAACAAACAAATTTAGATGCAAACATTACATGAATTAAATTAATTAACTTAGATTAAGAAGTGAATTAATTTGTCTATGGCCATACCACCCAGACTGTGTCCAGCCTTGTCTGATCTCGCAAGCTAAACAGGGTTGGGCCTGGTTAGTACTTGGATGTTAGAAGTGAATTAATTTAAGTTATTTTAATTCTACATGAATCATAGACCTAAATGTAAAACACAACACTATAAAAATCACAGGAGAAAGCATAAAAGAAAACCTAGGTGACCTTGGATAGGGTGATGCCTTTTAAAATACATAACCAAAGAGATAATCCATGAAAGATAAGCCCGATTTCATTAAAATGAAAAACTTCTGCTCTGCAGAAGACAATGTCAAGAAAATCAAAAGATAAGTCACAGACTAGGATAAAACATTTGCAAAATATTAGCAAAAAACACATCTAACAAAGACTGTTTTCCAAAATATACAAAGGACTTTTTTTTTTAATTTTTTTTCCATTTATTTTTATTAGTTGGAGGCTAATTACTTTACATCATTGCAGTGGTTTTTGTCATACATTGAAATGAATTAGCCAAAGATTTACATGTATTCCCCATCCCAGTCCCCCCTCCCACCTCCCTCTCTACCCGCTCCCTCTGGGTCTTCCCAGTGCACCAGGCCCGAGCACTTGTCTCATGCATCCAACTTGGGCTGGTGATCTGTTTCACCCTAGATAATATACATGTTTCGATGCTGTTCTCTCAAAACATCCCACCCTCGCCTTCTCCCAGAGTCCACAAGACTGTTCTATACAAAGTACTCTTTAAAATTCTACAATAAGAAAACAAACAACCCAATTTAAAAATGGGCCAAACACCTTAATAAACACCTCACCAGAGAAGATATACAGACAGAAAGTATGCATATGAAACGAAGTTTCATATTATAATATGCCATCAAGAAAATGCCAGTTAAAACAAGGAGAAACCCCTACAACACACCTCTCAGAATGCAAAATCCAGAACAATGACACCAGATGCTGGCAAAAGCATACGGCAATAGGAATTCTCATTCACTGCTGGTGGGAACGCACAATGGTGCAGCTACCTAGAAGACTGGCAGTTTCTGACAAAACTTACCATCTGATCTGGCAAATACACTCTGTGACATTTACCTAGAAAAGCCAAAAAGTTATGTTCACACAAAAACCTATACACGATGCTTATAGTATCCTTACTCATAACTGCCAAAATGTGGAAGCAACCAAGATGTCCTTTGTTAGGTGAATGGATAAACAGGGACAGCTGTGGACAGCACAACAATGGAATAATAACTTAATCCACATTAAAATTAAATGAGGGGTCAAGACGTGAAAAGACACAGAGGATACTTAACTGTGTCCTACCAAGTGAAAGAAGCCAAACTAGAAAGGGTACATACTGCATGATTTCAACTATATGACATTCTGAAACAGCCAAAACCACAGAGAGAGTGGAAAAAAAAAATCATTAGTTGTAGGGTTAGGGGGAGGGGATGAGGGAAGAATAGATAGAGCTACGAGGACTTTTAAGGCAGTGAAAATATTCTGTATGATACCATGATGATGAGTAAATGTCATTATACATTTGTCCAGATCCACAGAATGTATAATACCATGAGTGAACTAAAGCAACCCATGAACTTTGTGTGATTATGCTGTTATTGATGTATGTTCATCAGTATTAGCAAAAGTACCACTCTATTGAATGATGGTGATAATGTGTGGGAGCTTTGGATGTGCGGGGGCTATGATAACATGTGGGGGTGTATGGGAACTCTCTATGCCTTCCTTTTGATTTTGCCATGAACTTAAAGCTGCTTTTAAAAAGTGAAGTCTAAAAAAAATTTCTAAATGCTTGTATATATCTTTCCATGTATGTCTATACACA